TTCCAGCGTTCAATATTTATACCATCAGACTTGAATTTTAGTCAAATTATCAATTGAACATGATTTTACTTAGTCATGTATGTCATGTATCTCACACAGTGATGTGAATAATTATAGACTCAAAGTAACTTTTACTTTTTCTTGTGCTGTTTAAACAAAAACTTAACAATACACCATATTTGTACATTTATATATTACAATTATCAGTAAAAATATAGAAGTTATTTTGAGTTTACAATTATTCACAGCACTGTAGATAGTCTCCTTTAACTCCCTATATATTTAAAAAGAACTTAACAAAGCATTATATTTGTACATTGCTATATTAAAAATAATAGAAATAAACAAACACGATATTTTGTTAAGTTTTCGTTTAGATATCAGTAACAATGTAAAAGTTACTTCCAGTCTATAATTATGCACATCATTCTATCTACCCGGTGTTCAATATTCGATAGAAATTCGCGATAATTTAAAATCGATACGAACGAAATAAGGTTAGATGTGTCCAGCCGCGAGCACACAAAAACCTCGCGTGACACACAGTTTTTATGAACACTTACCGAGCTCAGCTGTTCGAGTTCGACGCGGTAATTCGGGTGAACGAACCCAACGTGTACACAGGCTAGCGTCGGTTGTTGACAATCCGTGACGCAACGAACGCAGGGGCCATCGATCCTTTATGTCATAATTTATTAAATCCGTTATCTAATTTCCTTGTGCCCCAGCAGTGGCGGTCGTCAGGGCATTGCCCTAACGGACGCCTTGTACTTCTCTGGCTTTTGTTTTTTCAAATATCCCAGTTATTCCTTTCTGTAACCGATGGCTGTCGCCACAGACGCGGGTGCCTATTTCGCTTCACACTTAGAGACCTCGTGACGTTTTAATAATCTTCTGTTATTTTCGCAACCATACCCATTGTTACCCATTGTATATATCATTCTCTATTATTAGTCCAATAGATTCATCTTTTATCCATAAAATTCAAACAGTTGTACTTCTCCCTGTTTTACCACAATCCTTCCTTTCAATATTATTCAATACAGTCCAAAACACCGGGTAATTTTTCTCCAACTTAGGTAGCTGAGTATCTCATAAGTAGATTCCGGATGTTTATGCAACATATTAATGTAGAATATATTCAGAAATATGAAATGTATATGCAAAAAATATGAAAGCTATATAGAAATTGTTTTATTATCTGCATTATTTACTACTACTTAATACTGCTACTACTACTACTATTTACCGTAATTTGCATTACAATTGTGTTACGATTATTTTTCCTATATTCTGGTCTGTCGATTCGTGCCTTTTATCACATAAAATTAACTTAATATTCTTTCACATCAATTTAATGTATAAAATAATATTCAATTGTTTATAGCATTTATGAAATATAGTTAATTCTAACCACGTTAAAACGGATACATGCAAAAAATATGCAATATATGTACAAAATATACTATATTGCAAAATATATAAAATATGCAAGAAAGAAATTATATTTTTGAAATTCTTTAATGATAAAACAAATTTCCGTCCAAGTCCTATAAATTTATCTCTTTCCTATAAATATATGCATTTATATAAATATCCGTAGTACACTCATAAGTAAGAATTCTATTTTGCGATTATTATACCCACATGAGTTTCTCTATATTTAAAAATCAATTGAATTTAAGCTACGAGAACAGAGGATACGTATTTAAAATGCTTTTTCTGAATTTTAAAAAAATGTTTGCCTGGCTTCTTCTAATAAATTTGGTTATGTTATTCTGATGTAAAAGAATATTATTTATTTATAAAAATTAAAAAATTATTTATAAATACATACAATTCAATACATACCATTTTTTTAAAGCTGTCTATCTGTCCGTGACTTTCACGGGCAGAATTGGCAAGGGGTTAATTGATAAATGTATTCAAGACTGATTTTATTTATTCGCTATTGATAAATTTTCTTACAGCCCGCCACAAAAATCAGAAAACGGATGAAAGCCTTGCCATTCTTACAATGAGGCAGAACTATCCGTCTTCTGAATTTAATTCGTCATGGATAAATCGTGTGAAATCCGTTTTCCAAATTTAGAAATTTCTCTAATGAAAATATTGATGAACGGCACCACTGCTACTATCTAGTCTTTTTTCTACTTCCTCAGTTTTCAAACAAGATTCTGCTTCAATTGCATCCCTGAATGCGTCAATATTTAACGCAGCTCTTTCATCGAGCCTGGAGTCTTGGAGGCGGGGGGAGGGGGAGCGGCAGAGACTCATGTGACGGGTCAAAAAAATCGATATTTTTTTTCATAAATCAATGCTTTTGTATTCTAAGAATGTTGCGTAAAAATTTCGAATTGAAATTCTTAGTCCTTCCTGAGAAAAAAAAATAAAATTCGACGATGTTGCCTCGCAGAGCGTAATAATAACCTCAACTTAAAAAATAATTAACCGATTGAGTTGGATCAATGTATGCATATGCATAACTAAATTTTTCATCGTAGGAACTAAAAACCTTCGTAATAGTAATTATTTAAACCATGTTTATAGCATAATTAAGTTAAATATTTATGATAAAAACTATTTTTTTGTGTTTGAAGTTGCGTTTCTTTTACAATTTTGTATTTTTTAAAGAGTTTAATTCATAAGATGCGACTATATATATATTATGAAGAATATGTCGTTTGATTTTTCGTTCTAAATCGAAAGAAAAATATGCTGGACTGCACGCCGTCGATGAGGAGTTCCCTAAGAACTAACATGTACTATTTCATTAAAAGTCGATGAAACGTAACGAAAAAAAACATTTTGTATCTTGAAATATTAAAGAATATATGTGCGAAGTAGCGATAAATTTCATCAATAAAATTATGTTATTAAAAAATTTTCTAAATATCATCTCTCGTTTGAACGCTTCACACGAGTCTCCCCCCCCCTCCCTTTAGGAAAGATCAAAATCACTGTACGGAAATTTTTTATTAAACATTCTGCATGAACGTATTCCAGAATCCTTAATCTGACATAATATTCGATATGGATAGTATAAATCGTATTTATTTATTAAGATTGAAGTGACAGGACAAGATCCGGAGAATTTTACAGGATTTCAAAGAACAATCAGTACAGGCGTCCACTGCGACTGCAGTATAGGGATAAAGCAAGCATTCCGATATACAAATCGAACGATCAAAGTACTACTTGATTGTTTAAAAAATTCCAAAACCGGAAATTGAAACAATTAATAAATTGCAGGTTAACGGGCACGAAGTTCCACTTACAGAACCTCCACACCTTGCAGTTTACGAGTTAGGATCATTAATCGAGCACAATTGCAAAGCAAACTGTTCAAAAAGCTTCACGGATAAAGGTGGCTTGATTATTCACACCGCGACGCCTATAGCAAAAGGTAAATTACCATTAGTTTAAATAATTTCAATACAGGGTGACCGAAAAGTTACTCTAAATCGGGAAATGAGGGGTTCCTGAGATCATTTGAAGTAACTTTTTTCTTAGCGAAAATGCAATCCACGGCTTTCGATGATGAGCGGCGGGTTTTGTTGGCACGAGGCGGCTGAGCCAATGAGCAGAACTGGGCTTCGAGGGCTCGTTGGCTCGGCCGCCTTGCACCAGCAAAACCCACTTCTTGCATTTTCACTAAGGAAAAAGTTACTTCAAATGATCTGAGGAACCCATCATTTCCCGATTGCGAGTGACTTTTACTTAAACTATTTACTTAAATAGAAACACTCACACATTATGTAAAAAAAAGTACCTGGATTTTGTAACTACAACATAAATTATTTATTTATTCACCAAAATTAATTTTGTCACATTCGAAGTAGATCGAATCCGAGGCAATATATGGTGCCTTTTCATAATTCCGTGTCTTTCCATATTCTCGTGCGTGTACTTCATGCATGCTTTTCCAACTGTTTTCAATGAAAATGAGGTTAGGTTCGATCTCGCGGTCTAATACCAGAGGGCATGGAGATACGGACAAGTTCTAAAATCTGACCCTATTTCCGGATTTATATTAAAAATATAAAAATATGCATCATTAGTGTTTTTTATCGTTATTAGTACTAATTGAAACCGCATTGCAACGTAACATACGTTTTGTACGACGTAAATCACATTAATAATTCATTTCTACGAAAATCTTCAGCAAGCGTTTCTTACGATTTTTGACAAAAAAAAGACATACTATTTGAATTCCTCAGAACTTTTTTATTCCTTCAAGTTGCAACATTTGTTGAGTTCTTCTTTCTAAAATTCAAGTAATTTGATTTGCTATTATGTTCTGTTTCAGGAGATCATATTTCCATCTGCTACACAGATGCGTTATGGGGTACTGTAAATAGGAACCACTATCTGTACCATACAAAATTTTTTTATTGCATCTGCGACAGATGCAAGGACCCTTCTGAATTCGGCGTAATGTTTAACGCCTTAAAATGCAAGAAAATGTAAGACACTTTAGATTATCGGTGTAGTTTGGAGTTTGTTCCAGATCTCGACTTCTCGAGCGAAATTGAGAAATTGAGAACTCAAAACATTATTTAATTATACATATATATGTTACAAAAAATATTGCAATAAATATTGCAAAATCTGCAAATTCTATTTACAATAGAATTTGATTGACATCAAGAGACGAATACGATACATAGAGTAGTTTCTTTTCAAGGTCATTTCTCGGAGTTTCCAAGGTCATCGATGTTGACTTGCATATAAGTGCATTTTTTTATTGCATTATGTAGCTAACGTCACCATATTGTATTCAGGTAATAACTTCACCTTGAAGTGGCATTATACATGTTTCAGTGTATTATAATTTCAGCTACACGATGCACTAAATAAATGCGCTTAGATGCAAATTGATTTTGAAAACTCCGAAAAGTGTGACCTTAAAGAAAACTACCTTTTGCATCATATTCCTCACTCGATACCAATCAAATTCCACATACAATATTTTTTGTAAAATCACTATGGAAGGAGATATTGTGATGGCCGGGTTTTAAGCAAAACGCCCAATATACAAGGTGTCCCAGGTTTTAATGTTCAAACTTTGACAGTATATTCTATGGCACAAAGTAAGAAAAATATGTTATGTAAACATAGGTCATATAGAGCTTTATTAAGAAGTTATAACAAAAATTCAGAATAGGAATAGTAATTAACTAAAAAAAAAAATAAAAAAATAAAAAAAATCTTCGATCGATGTCAATCATGTATTGTCAACAACGGTAGGCATTTCGAAATGCGTTAATAAACACAGCTTACATAAACACACGGCATATGCTGATCTATTTAAGCCAATGCTCGCAGCAACAGCAAGTTGATTACTATTCCTATTCTGAATTTTTGTTATAACTTCTTAATAAAGCTCTATATGACCTATGTTTACATAGCATTTTTTTCTTACTTTGTGCCATAGAATACACTGACAAAGTTTGAACATTAAAACCTGGGACACTCTGTATAAATATTCGTAATAACCTATACTAAGTTTTGTATCAAAAATTAAAGCTGAAAAGATCATACAGTTTGAACATGAACATTTCTTTCAAAATCAAACATCTTGAAAACTGAAAGTAACAATAAAACGGTTTCGAAATTTGTGTTCAGCACACGAAAATCTACAATAATCACTTATGAATTACCAAAACGTTTAAAACAGAAGCAGAAAAGGTTGAAATTTCTTGGACACTGTTAGACAAATTTATCAAACATTATACACATAAATTATCAGTAGCTTGACTAAGCACTTTTTTTTGCCTTTAATCATTTTAATAAGTTCAAACTGACATATCAACACTTTTAGTTGTTTTTTTTAATATTTTCACTGTTTTAAATTATTACTCATTTTTGCCATAAATGCATAAAATGCGCAGTCTAGTTATTAGTTAACTAATTGTCGATTTATTTATAGAGATTGTCCTGGATACGTTTTGCCAGAAACATTCCTCGGAACAGAACCAAAACCTTACATATGCGGAACCTGTAAATTATCGATGAGCCACGAAGAGGTGGAACAAATTTTGGAAAGGGTTGGCACAGACCTCTCGAGAACAAAGAAAAACAACATCGCCGCATGCCACGAATTTCTACAACATTACAGGGACATTCTACACCCTAATCATTTTTACAATGTCGACATTATTATTGCTTTGTTTCAAATGATTGGACAACAAGGGGCAGAAACGATGACTGATAATCTCCTGGTCGAAAAAATCGAACTGTGCAAGAAGCTCGATAATTTACTCCGAATCATCGCACCTGGTAACTTAACACACTTATATAATATCTAATTAGAACACTAATATAACCTGCCATAACCTTGATATAACCAAACGCTGTGGATCTTTATGCAATATATAAATTATCTGCATCAATTGCAAGATGTAGGAGACAAGTGCAGTCCCGTTTCTCTTTTAAATATTTTTAATAAGTTGTAATTAACATATCAATATCTCTAGTTTCTTTTCGATTTTTTTACTATTCTATGTTTCACCGATTCATTTTTCTCATAAATGCATAAAATTACTGCGTCTGCAAAATTTTGGGGTTGAAATTATGAAAAATACTTATACCGGGTGTCCCAAAAACGTTGTAAGCCCTTGAAAGAGGTGATACTTTACGTCATTTCAAATCACTATTACCTTAGCGAAAATATTTTACGCGGTATAGTTAACGATTTATTAACGAAGAGCATGGACCAATTAAAGGACGAGTACAGTGAACGAATTTCGGCGCAGGCAATGACCCGTCGAAGCCTAGTTCCACTCATTGGCTCGGCGCCTCGCGTCAGCCGAACTCGCCTCTCATTGGTCAGTGTTCTTCGTTAATAACTCGCAAACAAAGCTGCTGATTGTATTTTCGTTAAGATAAAAATTAATTCAAATGACTTCAGGAACCCCTCACTTCACGACTTTGAGTAACTTTCGGGTCACCTTGTATTTTTGAATGGTGATGATACGCGACACTTCTTTTACGCAATTTGAATGGTATCAAAGGACTAAAATATCCGGTAAGAATATATTTTTCAAGGTTAACCTTCCGGAGTTTTCAAAATCAATTTTTCCCCACACAAGATATATGAATATATTTTTATTGAACCGTGCAGTTAAGATAAAAATGATTTGTATCATCCTAATTTGAAAATATATTTATGTGGACTTCTTCAATAACTGAGACATCGTTCTGTAGATTAGAGTGTTCAAAATCTTGAAAAAATTAGATGACTGAGATTTAGGAAGAACATTGCGATGAAGATTTTATGTAAAATCAAATTTGTTAGGGATTCAATTCTTGCATGAACATTTTATTCATTCTACAAGTCAATTTTACGAATAAAGATGACTTTGTCATACTTTCCACGACAAAGATGTTATTATGAAAACTCTATTCTATTATGAAAACACTATTTTATAAATAACTTATGTTTTCGAGTTGCAGAAAATTTGTTTAAAAATTAAAGCTGTATAGGAATTTTTATAAGAATATTGCGAGTATTCAAAATTAAATTTCTTGGGATCCAAATAAACTGATTATTTTTTGTTTACAACGCTTTTTAAAATGTATGATATATAAACAAAGTAAAATAAAAATGGATGAGTTATCCTAGAATCTTTCATGTATATATTTCTAAGGAACGTTGGCTGGATAAAAATTAAAATTGTGTTTTCATGGATATTTATCCCATAAATAGATCGTATTTTATGCGATAGAGAAAAGCACCTTAATCATGTTTGAATATGTCATTATCAGCTGAAAATCGACTTCGAGGACTTCTTCTTTTCGAGATCCATGTAGCCCTTGCAGAATTCACTAAGAGACACCTGGAAGAAGACACTTTAATGTTATTAATGGTAAGCCTTTTACTATACCATGGAAAAATATATTAGATCGTTTATTAAAGCATCGTAAGCACTGTATTCAAGAAAAGTCGCTATGCAAGAGGTGGGATGGCGACGCGAAGCAGAGTGATCATAGTTCAGAATTATAACGTTCATGCAGTAGACGCGTCACGCCGCTTTGCAGGACTCCCGCGCATGCGTCGCCTATCCCCACTCCTTGCGTAACTTATTTTCTCGTCCACACTGGCCGGGGCATCGCGTGGAGAAGTGCTAACGAGTGGTGGAGTGAGGAAGAAGAACCTATGGGAAGAATCACTCACTCCCATACCTAAAATTCTCTCTCTACTATTCTCCCACCACTTGTAAACACTTCTCTAACATACCTGCACGCGACGCGGTGCAGCAGCTTATCTTCTTGGTTTTGTTACTAATAACTTCAATATTAAATATTTCAAAAACTATGAGTCGTCTGCATCCAAAACCGGATATCATTAGATTCAGTTTTAATTTCGTTTAATCTCAAATTTAAATCTCATCAAAAAGTGAGTATTACGCTTGGGATTACGTTCTATTGTCAACTACATTTATTTTCAATTTTCATGTAAAATCGTTGAAGAATGAAGTATTTTTTCGTTGAGAAAACAATCTGATTTTTGAAATGCAAACTGAAATATATTTTGAGCTATAACACTTACATACTTTAAAGAATATTTCATTCTAAGATACACCGAATTGTATTACATAATTTAAACAAATATTATGTAATAATTGTACAAGCATTACTAAACATTAATTCGTATCACTTAAATGTTAGTGTGAAATAATATTATATTGAGTTAAATGTTATAAATATTTCACAATATTTTGTTATAACATGCATTAGATTCTAGATTAGGTACATTATATTACCTAAGTTTAGCAGTACTTAATTCCTATTTTCCGTTTGTATTTTCAGTCACACATGTTTTATAGGAACTTGCAGCTTTTATTTTAAAACTGGTGTAATTGAGTACTCTAGTTTACTAAATGATTTTTTTTAAATTAAAAGTTAACAACAAAACTGAACCATGTGTTTTCGTAAGATTTTTATACAAAACTACAAATTGGCAATAATGTTACTTTTATTTCTCAAAGCTTAAAATGTGTTAATGTTATTTAATTTTAAATAGACAGGAATAACATTATCGTATGGTGTTTCTGTTATTTCTCTTTATTTTTTACAGGAATCAAAGAAGTGTTTACTTGAATCTTATGAACTATTGAAATACGAGCCGAAAGTACTACCGGAAGGAATGATTGCGCACCAAATTAACTTCAACCTACAAAAGATGAATGCAGTTTTAGAACATCTTAATATCAAATCCTGAAACAACGATTCATAGCAATCTGGGGATAACTTGACATTTTGTGCTACTTTTTAAACATTTATTTCACATTGTCTAAAGTTTAGACAAAATAATGCAAAAATGATAATTTCTAAATTGAAATAATGGGGCATAACAAATCACTTTATATATTTAAACCAATACTTTTAGAAGATTATTTTGAACATAAGCGTTCCATGTGTATATCCTAGATTATATGCATTCTACAATTCTCAATAGAACGTTATTTTGTGTGATTGCAAAACGTTAAATATATTTAAATATATTTATAAGTTAATTTTTAAGAATTAATTCCTAAAATTTTAAAATTGATTCTTGTAAATTTTCAGGAGTGACACAAATATAAATCAGAAAAATAAAATCGTAGAAATAATTTATATAAAAAAAAGACGTTCTTGGAAACCGTAATGCCATGGTTGTAAGAGTATAAAGTGATGTTTCAATTGATAAATTATAAACTAGTTTTAAAAAATGGCTTTCTGTTTTTTTTCTCGTTTACAGTCACCGTTGCTACCCCCCATATGTGGGGGTAGCATGAGTTGTCACTCTTCATTTTCCGATAACTCGGTATATCCCTTATTCAACTGTATTATCACATGATCATTCAAAACATTGTGAAAATCTCTACTGGTTTGATTACTCGCATACTGTTTCCATTTTATAGAATCGGTGGGAAAAGTTCTTTCCCTAGGTATTTCATCAAATATGGAGAATCAAAAGCAGCATTCTGCTTTTTTACTACCGAAAAGGTACTGTTCAAGCAAAAAAATATTGTGTGATGTGTATGGAGAAGATAGTTGTTCTGAAAGTAATTTCGCTTTTGCAAAATATGCCGAAAATGCTGCTTTTGATTTTCCATGTTTGATGGAAGACCTACAAAACAATTGCACAGTATCAAACAAAATTTTTAACGAATAAGCTTTGAGATATCAGCTGTCAAAATATATGAGCCATTTATTTTGAAAGTGGCCTAAGTCCATTTATTTTAAAATCCATTCAAAATCCATCTCCAACAATCTCCATAGATAATTACATTGCATTATGTATATTTCTAATAATAACTTACATAACTTACCGTAAAGTAATTATGAGCCTCTCCTCTAGTGAAATGCACTTCTGAAAATTCGTTTAGCAGATTTCAGAAGTGTTCGCTATGAAAACTAACTTTAACAATATAATTGACATTCCTTAAGAACTTCAAAATAATTGTACAAGCTTCTTTTATCGATATAAATTTTTCCATGAAGCAAATATCAAATCTTCATTGAATATTAAGAGAAGGAAGTGTGCCTATGATCTACAAAGATCAGTTACTGTACGACATAGTCTATGCCCCCTCACTGAATACTGTGCTTCAGTTACTGAGCTCTCTCTGTGAATATGTACTGTGCTTCAATTATTGTGCACCCTCAACACTGAGTCTAAATATCTATCAGATAATAAAACTTTAATATTTAGAACATACTTTAATCAATTTTATTTTCTATCAGAAAATAGTAATGTTATAACAAGTCATTTAAAAGTTCACATTAGAGATAAGTGCNTTTGAACATAAGCGTTCCATGTGTATATCCTAGATTATATGCATTCTACAATTCTCAATAGAACGTTATTTTGTGTGATTGCAAAACGTTAAATATATTTAAATATATTTATAAGTTAATTTTTAAGAATTAATTCCTAAAATTTTAAAATTGATTCTTGTAAATTTTCAGGAGTGACACAAATATAAATCAGAAAAATAAAATCGTAGAAATAATTTATATAAAAAAAAGACGTTCTTGGAAACCGTAATGCCATGGTTGTAAGAGTATAAAGTGATGTTTCAATTGATAAATTATAAACTAGTTTTAAAAAATGGCTTTCTGTTTTTTTTCTCGTTTACAGTCACCGTTGCTACCCCCCATATGTGGGGGTAGCATGAGTTGTCACTCTTCATTTTCCGATAACTCGGTATATCCCTTATTCAACTGTATTATCACATGATCATTCAAAACATTGTGAAAATCTCTACTGGTTTGATTACTCGCATACTGTTTCCATTTTATAGAATCGGTGGGAAAAGTTCTTTCCCTAGGTATTTCATCAAATATGGAGAATCAAAAGCAGCATTCTGCTTTTTTACTACCGAAAAGGTACTGTTCAAGCAAAAAAATATTGTGTGATGTGTATGGAGAAGATAGTTGTTCTGAAAGTAATTTCGCTTTTGCAAAATATGCCGAAAATGCTGCTTTTGATTTTCCATGTTTGATGGAAGACCTACAAAACAATTGCACAGTATCAAACAAAATTTTTAACGAATAAGCTTTGAGATATCAGCTGTCAAAATATATGAGCCATTTATTTTGAAAGTGGCCTAAGTCCATTTATTTTAAAATCCATTCAAAATCCATCTCCAACAATCTCCATAGATAATTACATTGCATTATGTATATTTCTAATAATAACTTACATAACTTACCGTAAAGTAATTATGAGCCTCTCCTCTAGTGAAATGCACTTCTGAAAATTCGTTTAGCAGATTTCAGAAGTGTTCGCTATGAAAACTAACTTTAACAATATAATTGACATTCCTTAAGAACTTCAAAATAATTGTACAAGCTTCTTTTATCGATATAAATTTTTCCATGAAGCAAATATCAAATCTTCATTGAATATTAAGAGAAGGAAGTGTGCCTATGATCTACAAAGATCAGTTACTGTACGACATAGTCTATGCCCCCTCACTGAATACTGTGCTTCAGTTACTGAGCTCTCTCTGTGAATATGTACTGTGCTTCAATTATTGTGCACCCTCAACACTGAGTCTAAATATCTATCAGATAATAAAACTTTAATATTTAGAACATACTTTAATCAATTTTATTTTCTATCAGAAAATAGTAATGTTATAACAAGTCATTTAAAAGTTCACATTAGAGATAAGTGCTTTAATAAAATTTCATATTTATATTTCTTCTCTTCAAATCTAAAAACAAAAACTCAAATAATCAATCAGTATTTCGTTTTTCCAAAATCTTAATCCTTTTTATCAATACTGGTATCTTATCTGGAACCTGAGTCTTATCTGGCTCAGAAAAATTGTAGCATAGAAAAATTTTGGATAAAAATCGGTCAAATTTGATTGACGAGAACTCCGCGAAAAATCATCGTAGCATGATAACTATTTTTTTTTCTAAATTAAGGCTTGAATCCTCTACTTTAAAATAATGTTTCTGCATTTTAAGTTTGATTCACCTTCACCACATGTTTGCCAAGAAAACGAGGTAATTTTTATGGCATTTTAAGCATTTTCGCCTTCTATGTGTTTATTTTTAACAAATTTAAACGACTTAATTAATTTAAATCAATTTAAACGAACAAATTTTTATTTAATAAATATAAAATTAATTACGCTTGATAATAAACCAAAGACACAGCAATTGGCTACCCAACAGTAACTGGCTTCACTACTGTACTTTGTCGAGCTACGCTGGATTCAACACTTTGAACGCAAATTCTATTTTTACATGAGGATCTTATTTCCTACACGCAAACTTCTTTTTTAAATGAGCATTACTCTACTATTTGAGCTGATTTGAAAATGAAATTTATCGGTAGAGCAGGATGATTTAAAATTTTAAAGAAAAACTCACTCAGGGAATTTGAGTCTAATGTTTTATTGACCACACAGCCTTAAAATCTGACGATACGCATGAATGCCGTTGTACGCGAAGCCTACACGTGTACATAATTCTTCAGAATGCGTGAAAAACACCGATTCCTCTAAACACTATGTGTAGTAAACAACTTCACGGTGATACATTCCGTTTCGCGAAGAAAAACGTCTCTACCGCTTATTTCTTAAAATCTGATATTCTTTTCACCTGTTGAACACTATCAGTAAACCATGTAATTGCCATCGTAACAATTAGTACTGAAATTGAATGCGTTAAAAAATTTCATATTAATGAAAATAAAATTTGAGATGCGCATGTTATTCATTCATGAAATGAGTTCGATTGGTATATCAAGTATAGTGTGCAAGTATACAAGTATAAGGTTGAATGAAAAGCTCGTTCCTTATTTGCAGTAAATATCTAATATTGATAAACAATCAGAACAAAGCTGATATTTGTGTAATTTTTTAATACAATTAAATTAATTGCAATTACTCGAAGGTAACATCACTGTTTTGTGATATAGAAAGTAACGAACTTTTAACTCGGCTCAATATGTATTCAGATTGAAACGTTTGGAAATGTGAAAATGATACTGTCGTAATTTCTCCCGTATCACACACTAAGTAGCATAAGTTTCGTTTATGCAATTTACAGGTTTGTACAAACTGATATGTAAAGATTTACTTTCATCGTTCAAATTTTTCTTCGCGAGTCGTCCGTCTCCACTGATTTCATACTAATTATTTAGTTGTTATTTATGCATGTATATATAGGTTTAGTTAGCGTAATTGATTATCTAATAATTGTCAAGGAAACAAGTGCAATCCTCGCGCGTCAAGAAGGCATCTTCGTGATTACATCTCCCCTCCTACTAGCTGCACCATTGCTGCAGCTAGTAAGAGGGGGAATGTAAACATGAAGGTGTCTTGTCGCGTGAGGACTGTAGAGCCTTAGGCATCCAAACTCAAAAGGCATCTTTCGAGTATCCTAATGCCTTTTGAGTGTCTAAACATTTTGTTAACTTTAACAATTCAAATCGCGCGTTAACTGGTAGCGGATTAAATGGAGAGTGTGTAACGTTCAATTTAGTACATAAGAATTTATCAATAATTAAATACATAAAAATTTGTAACAATTTGTGAACAGCTATAAGAAAAAATATAGAATTCAGTGTAGTCTAAGCAACAATAAACAGCTCCCAGGCGCGAACAAAATATATTGCACAAATTTTCTACGAAAAAAATTTGTTGTGAGATGCTAAACTTTCTAAAACTTTAAATTTCCGTTATCTGAAACCTTAAATTGGGTTATCAAGAAACCATTTAAAAACTATTGAATCAATGGACTTGTAATGTAACATGCATACACAGGGTGTCCAAAAAATGCTGTAAATGCCGGAAAGGTTAAATTGGTCATTTGATGTAACCTTTTTCATCACGAAAATGTTCTCCGTGGCTTCGTTACCGAGTCATCAACGAAAACTACGGACTCATCAGACAGCGAGGGTGCTTGGCGCCACGCCGAAACGCGCCAGCCGTAGTCACTCTCTGATTGGTCCGCGTTTTTCATTAGCAGCTTGTTAATGAAGTCGTGGAGAACATTTTCGTTACGAAAAAAGATACTTCAAGTTACCTCATGAACTACACCGTCCAAGAGCTTACAAATTTTTAGGAGCACCCTGTAGATAAATGTATCCACAGTATATGAACCTAATTAAAAGGTAAATTAAAGGTAAAATATTAAAACCTAATTAAAGTTTTCACAGAAATGAGACCGATGTTTATGTAAGTTCATTTTGTATCTTCATTCATAAAATTAAATTCCGAAACACAATTTCATTAACAACATAGAACTGTTCAGTTTTCTAATTTTTGGTAAATAAAGCGTTAAGTTCTTCTCTGAAAAGTATCCCATTCTTTAATACAAACGTTTGTTGTACTTTCTGTGCTGTTTAATAAAATATCCTAAACACTAAAAAAGAAGGATATCAGTTCACCTAATAATAAATCCTTTGAGATTGTTTTACGTTTGCAAATGAAAAAATCAAATCGATGTCGGTTGAACAACGTTCGAAAAGCTTGCGTGCGATTTTCTTCTTCATTAAATCGTCTAGTGACCGGATGATTCCAGCCCTAAACGATTGCGATAGTCACAAATGCGTGTGCTTTGGAACAAGATGATGGTGGGCATTATTTAACAATGCATTTTGCGACATATGCAGAAGTAAATTTACTTTTTGTACACCCTATGTGCAATACGTTTTATAATATCGTAGTGAATTAACCAAAGGTCCTCTACACAGA